CTCACCAGCAATTCTGAATACTACAGGACTCAAATGTAATGGATAGAAAGACAGGTAAATAAATAGGGAAGATGAATCCCCAAAGCTCCTAGCTTTTGTTTACTTTCAGCTTATTTATATATCCTGAATTATGTTGCATTACTATAAAGCAAGCAACACTTGAGAAGGCAGATTTAGCATATGGGTTGAATTCTTGAAAGGACAGTGTTATTGTAGATCCTAGGACTTAGCCATTTACATATAGAAAAGCAATTTATATATCATGAATTTTACAGAGCTTATAGGGCAATATAACTAATACTATATTATACTACCATGATAATCCTAAAATATTATTACCATGCCTAAGTCTGTATGGTAATGCATACAGAATGTACATCCAGTATAATCCCAAATACAAGAAGGTAAAGCCTTTAGGTTAGAAAGAACAGAGTGAGGACATGAACACCCTGTCACTTTGAGGCGAAGATCCAGATAACATATAGAAATGGGAAAGGAGATACATCTGTCATGTCTTCCAAAATGAGCTGAGGACATCTGCAGCTTCTGCCATCATCTCACTGTAGCACAACGGCAAAAACAGATGTAAAAATAGAAGTGATATATTCAACTATTAACAGTGAAGCAAAACTGAATATAGCAGCCTGCAGCAGCACTGACGTAAAATGGGGAACAGCTTCTTCTGGGGCAGGCTGTCTCGAGTGGACAATGTGCCAACAAACTAATGATGTTCTCTCCATCCGTGTCATCCCTGACGTCTTCAGAAGGGATGAGGAGGAGGAGACAAGCGAGAAGGTCACAAACTGACTGCAGCAAGTGATATTCTCCTGACTGCAAAGTGAAGGAGCCCATTTGTTGGGAAGGAAACCCCTCCCCCTGGGAGTGCACCACCCACTGCAGCGCCTCCTAATGAAGTTCATGGGCAGGCATAAAGCTGTGTGCAGCCTGCGGGAGCTGCAGTAGGGAGAGTGCTGGACACGGGGACAGGAGAGCACAGAAACAGATGAGGGAGATTCTAGAGCCAGGAAGTGACCACGCTGGTTTCCTGTCAGTGTCACCTCTGCTCCACTGGGGAGGAAGCTGGGAGCCCATTTGGCAGGTTCTGCAGAGCAGTTCACAGGAAGAGAGGAAGACCCTCTATCAGGAGAATATTTTCATTAACGGAGCACCTGGAGCTTTCTGGTTGTTTATTATTACTTGACTTTATTTTTTTCTAAATTGAGACATCATTCATATATCATAAAACATGCTCTCTAAACATGTATACTTGAGAGTTTTTAGCATGCCACGAGACTATTCAACCATCACAGTAATTGCAGAGCATTTTTTATCACCACAGAAAGGAACCCTTACCCATTAATAAGTCACTCCCCCAACCTCTCTAGCTTCAGTTTACTTTCTCTTTCTATGGATTTGCCTATTCTGGATAGTTCATATAAATGGAATCATACTGCATGTGGCCTCTTATGCCTGTTTCCCCCACTTATCATGAGGTTTTCAAGATTCATCCATGCCATAGCATGAATTAGTACTTTATCCCTTTAAAGATAATAACTTATTATCTAATAATTTAGCCAATAGACACTGGCATCTGGCACATTCACAATGTGGTACAACTTCTATATGTTTTAAAATCTTCCCATCACTCCAGAGTAAAACCCCTTACCCATTAAGCAGTATCTCCCCATTCCCTCCCCTAGCCCAGAAACCACCCATCTCTGGGCTTTACCTATTTGGGGAATTTCATATAAGTGGAATCATATAATATGTGACCTTTGTGTCAGATTTCACTTAGCATTACGCTTTGAAAGTTTATTTTTTTCACAACACATGTTAGGTATTCCTTTTAATTGTCAGTAATATTCCATTGTATAGCTATATCACAATTTGTTTATCCATTCATGTGTGGGTGAACACTGGATTGTTTCTAATTTGGAATAATGCTACTATGAATATTTGTGTACAAGTCTTTATGTGAATACATGTTTTCATTTCTCTTGGGTATATATCTAAGAAGTAGAACTGCTGGGTCATATAACTCTCTATATTTTACTTTTCCAGGTACTTCTGGGCTGTTTTCCAAAGTGACTGTATTATCTTACACTTCTACCACTACTGTATAAGAGTTCATATAAATGGAATTCTCCAAATCTTTTTTTTTTTTTTTTTTAAAGAGAGAGGGGAGAGAGAGAGAGAGAGAGAGAGAGAGAGAGAGAGAGAGAGAGAGAAAGAGAGAGAGAGGGATTTTTTAATATTTATTTTTTAGTTTTCGGCGGACAACATCTTTGTTTGTATGTGGTGCTGAGGATCGAACCCGGGCCGCACGCATGCCAGGCGAGCGCGATACCGCTTGAGCCACATCCCCAGCCCTCTCCAAATCTTATATAACATTTATTACTGTCTGTTTTTGACTTTGGCTTTCCTAGTGGGTGTGAAGTAGCCTCACTGTGTGTTATTTTTTTGTTTTAAAATCAAAGCCACCCCTATACATAGTTTAAAAAGATAAGGCTCAAGTATAGATGCTCCATTCCTCTCCATTTCCATTTCCACAAGGCACATACTTAAAATTCTTTCAGTGGTTTCTTCTGGTATTTATCTTATATTTCTTGTATTATGCTTCCACTGTTATTTTTAAATCCATTTTAGATACTATCTCTTGACTTCCAACTATGAAAGATGAGCATTTATTTTACGTGCACAAAAACACATATACTCATTTTATCCTTCCTTCTTTGCAGTATGATTATAATCTTCATTTTTGGTTAAATCAGTAATTGGCATTTACATTGTTATGATTATGCATTTATAGCCATGTGATGTACAAAGATTCTACTTTACTTAATCATACTTTTTCCCCCTTAGATTTCAGATGACCTAGGAGGAAAAATCTGCCTCATGTTTTCTATTTCCTCAATTTTCTACATACCAATTACAAATTCATTTTCAAATTCTGCAAGAAGACTAAAATCACTCTCTATATATTCAAACACATTGGACGTTCTATTTCTTTCTTTTTGGGGTGAACATGTAGCCAAAGCTCATTAGTATTTGTTGAAGGAATGAATGAAGATAACTAGCCAGAACAAAGACCTAGAGCCAGAAAACAACAACAACAAAAAAAAACTTAGACATTACTTCTTCCCCCCCTCCTTCTGGGTTACAGTATTTACAAGATGGGTTCACTTTAGAGGTGAGAGATATTCCAGGCCCATAGAAGTGACTGGACTTGCCAAAGCGTGAGAACAAGAGTTCAGAAGGAGCAGGGCTGGAACATCAGTCTTCTGGGCCTTAGAGCCCCTACATCAGGTTGCTTCCACAGAAAAAAAGGGCATTTATCCTGAAGCGGATGTGGACTTTGGATCTTTATCCTTTAAATATATTCAATTTCCTGAAACCTAAAAAGTAACTGCTTGTGCTAAGAATCCAAAAGAAAGGGCACAAAGAGTATTTTCATAATTTGTAAACCCTCTTAGTGCTCATTGCTTCATTTAATATCCTCAAAGCTATAATCAGTCAAGATCTATGAAATCCAAACTTTCCACATGTAATTACTCTGAGGATTATTACTATTAATTTGAATTTGAATATTGCCAAGTCTAGTTACTTCCTAAAAAAGTCCCATGCCCAAGCAGTGCTGCGCATGATTGTGGCAGGTATGAATTGCTTTGGTCTGACCAGCATCTACTTCCCCATCCTCGGATAAGAGTTCTTTGATTTTTATTTGATACCAGGGATGGGGTATTTGATACTGGTGTGGAACATGATGTCAGCATAGAGCTGCCATGGATCATATTGGGAGAGGATCTGCCTGAGCTCAAGGGCCACTACAAAGAAAGAAGAACTGACAGGGATAGCACATGAAAAAGTCTCCATACCCTGCTGCGTCTTCAAACTTTCCAACAGTGTGCGCAAATAAAATCCTGGATTTGGATTGTGCTTCTGCTGCTTACAACCAAAAGGAGTAATGACTTACACAGACACTGTAAGGAGAGGCTGAGCCACTTCTGTGTATCAACCTCCCAAACTCATGTTTTGAGACAACTGGGACATTAATTTCATATTGATTTCTTGTACTTATATTTTTCTAAGTGTATTTGTTTCTAATACATCATCTGCTTCCCCAGGCTTTTTTTTTTTTTTTTTTGGGTAAATGATCCACATTTTAAAGTTGTGTCTCAGCATAAAAACAACTCAGAACATATTTTATAAATTATCACATATAACTTCCTTACAAATAAAAACCCTAACATTTTTCTTTTTCCTCCACTCTAGTTTCTTATCCCTAAATTTACTTACTTTTCCAAGTCAGCTCTTTTAAATTTTAATACTAGACAATTCTTATTTCCGTAGCTATAGGGGAACCACACATCTTTGTTCTAACTGGTTTCATTCCTACTTTGTAGCCATGACTTTTCCACTCAGCATACTTGTCCCTCCACAGTGTCTTATACAAAAAATGTCCGGGTGGATTCCACAGACTGTCTTTGGAACACCTAAGGCCTATGATTAAAGTAGGGGTGAGGGGCTCCAGCCCGGCTTTCTCATCCTCCAGGCACTATCCAGTCATTGCCAATGATGTAGGATTATACTTACTTATAAGATACAGCTATTTGTGTACTGTCCAGAGTCCAAGCTTCAGGATAGAATTCACCTGTTCATTACTAATGCTGAGCACCTAGCATATGACTGGCATGTGGTATTCAATAAACATTTATTAATTGAATAAATGAAAATAGGCAATACAGGTATAATTTTACTGATATTCTGATTTTATGGATAAGGAAACTGAGGCGCAGAGAGTTTTAGTGACTTGTATAAAGTTCCACAGTGAGTTAGAGAGGGGTTAAGATACAGTTCTCCTGCCTGGTTGTTCTTCTCTTCTACCACATCACTTCCTGAGCATATATCCCATTATCAAAAAATTCAGGTATAATATCTTAGTTATTAAATAAACGAAGATTTTCAAGTGCCCAAAATGATTCTTAAAGTTTAAGACCTACCGTGGTATCCACAGCCTTGACCTTTTCTGTGGGAATGTGCTTTGGGACAGGTTCTGTCTGGGACAGCAACACACATCCTTTGTCCCCCAAGGTGATGATTACAACCTTGCAGCCCCTTGCCAGGAGTACCATTGCAGCTTTCCCAGCCTCTTCTGGGTTGCCCACCGTGAGGCCTGTTAAAGTCTCAGCCTGGAACACACAAAGGAGAAGAAACAGTGGTGAGAATGAGTAACTCAGATCCACTTCCAGATTTGCTTTACTTAACACAGATGCAATGGGAACCTTGATGGATACCAGTACAGGAAAATAAACAAGAGAGAACAATAACAATGACAACCAAAACTAGCTAAAAGACATTCTTGGGATAATCAGGGAAATATGAATGTGGCTCAGATATTACATGACAGTATAGAATTATTGAGAATTTTTTTAAGCGTGATAGTGGTATTGTGGCTCCCTATAGGAGATGCATACTGAACTTACTCTCAATGAAAACACAATTCTTGTTTTTAGTTACTTTTTAATAAAAACAAAACCCAAATATATCCTGGGGAGGGAGAAGCAAACAGCAAAATGTTAGTACCTGTGTAGGTGGAGTGTTCACTCTATTACTCTTTCAGCTTTTCTGCTCATAGAATAATTTTTATGAAAAAGAGAACAAAAGGAATTCTACAAATAGAAGAAGGAAAGATGGGAAAAAGAAAGAAAAGAAAAAAAGAAAGAGTCATTGCCAATGATGTAGGATGAAATTGTACATATATACATATATATATATATATATATATATTTTAGCATCTAAGGATATGATTCTTCCAGGTGTCTCCTGGGCCATGATGCCTTTCTCAGTTACTAGTTAACTGGTTACTAGCCTTCCCTGGCTGCAGACGACTCACTATTTTTGCTCAGTTGTTTCTACTGGAGCTGCTGAAGGCAGAGAAGAGAGGCACCGATGGCAGAAGCCCTGGCATTCACTGACTCTGTCTGTGACCTTCCCTGGTCACTGACAATCTGCAAAATGGAGGGCAGGGGTGGGAGGGCTTACACAGGATCAGTATTTCTCTCTCAGAATATAAAAGGCCTATGATTAAAGTAGGGGTGAGGGGCTCCAGTCCTGCTTTCTCAACCTCCAGGCACTATCCAGTATCTCCAAGGAATCTCTCTGGTTCTGAGATAGGCAGTTTAAAAACCACTAGAGGAATCACATGGTACTTTTTGACTCAGAAAGTAGATAACCAAATTCTCTGTTTTTGCTATTACAATTTAACCATACACTACCTCTTCTGGAGAATGGATCTGTCTTCTTTGGGTTTGCTCATGTCCAAATCAATGCTTTTTGTCATCTATAAATCATTCCACAAGTGTCTGCTCATCCTGAGTTTGCATTTTCCCAGTAGTACAGGTTAGCACACGCTTCACCAACTTGACCATGGACCCCCCTCTTACCATCTTTTGTGTAGACCTTTTTAGTCTGGGTTGGTTATACTTTGAGGTCTTCCTTTCTCCCCACTACTGGGGACCAAACCCTGGGTCTTTTTTTTTTTTTTTTTAAATAACTTTTTTTAGTTATAGTCAGACACACACAATACCTTCATTTTATTTGCTTATTTATTTTTATGTGGTGTTGAGGATCGAACCCAGCACCTTGCATGTGCTAGGTGGTAGTGCTACTGTTGAGCCACAACCCCATCCCAAATCCAGGGTCTTACATGTGCTACGCAAGTACTCTACCACTGAGCTACATGACCGGCCCTTTTTGTTTTATTTTGATACAGGGTCTCACTAAGTTTCCCAGATTGGCCTTGAATTTGTGATCTTCGTCCCTCAGCCTCCTGAGTAGATGGGATTATAGATGTGCGCCACTGTGCCCAGCTTCTGATACTATTTTTTTTTTTTAAATAAATTTTGCATTGGTTTTCCTTACTGGGATCACTTACATCTATTGAGTTGGATGGTCTCTTTTCAGAAATACCAACTTGTGTCTTTAAAAACTTTTTTTTAATTTAAATTTAATTTTTGCAATACTGGGAATTAAATCCAGGGACACTCTACCCTTGAGCTATATCCCTATTCCTTTTCATTTTTTGTTTTGAGAGAGGCTGTTGCTAAGTTGCCCAGGCACGTATCCAACTTGTGATCCTCCTGTCTATCTCCCAAGTAGTTGGGGTTATAGGCAGGCACCTCTACTCCTAGCCTTCTAGAAACCTTTTAAAAAAACTACTGTTTAGGGCTGGGGTTGTGGTTCAGTGGTAGAGCATTTGCCTAGCATGTGTGAGGCACTGGGTTTGATCCCCAGCACCACATTAAAAAAAACTAAATAAACTAAATAAAGGCATTATGTCCACCTACAACTAAAAATATTTTTTAAAAACCAAAAACTATTGTTTAATGAAAAAAATCTTTTAACATAGGAAATAATGCAACCAGCATCCATTTACCTACCACGGACTTTAACAAATCTTAACATTTTATTTGATTCAGATACATTATTATTATTATTATTATTAGGGATTGACATGCTAGCAACCAGGGCCTTGCACATGCTAGCAAGCAGTCTACCAAGCTACATTCCCAGCCCAAGACAGTTTTCTTTAAAGAAATTAAATTATCTCTCACATAATATTGTTTAACAAATATTTTTCTCTTGTGTTGATGACATGATTATTCTTGTCATTTACATTTAATCTCTTTTTCCCTCTGATCATTTAAAAATATTTTTGTTTTTATTCTCAGTTTTATGCAGTTCCATTAAAATGTACCTGAGTAGAGAATCAGATTTGTTTATTTTACATGGCACTTTTTTTATATGTATATATATATATATATATTTTGGTTGTAGGTGGACACAATACTTTTTATTTTTCTGTGATGCTGAAGATTGAACCCAGTGCCTCACACATGCCAGGCCAGCGCCCTACCACTGAGCTACAGCCCCAGCCCTCCATGGCACTTTTATACACTTTTGACCTGGGGACTTGTGTCTTTTCTCAGTTTTAGAAAGCACCTTGCAGGTTTTCCTCCAGTATTGCTTTTCTTGAGTTCCCACAGTTCTCCTTTTACTCCAATTAGATGCAATGGGACCTCTCAAACCTCCATCTCTCTCTCTAATATTCTTCTTTAATATTTAAAATATTTTTCTTTCTGCCCTGCTTTCTTGGTGAACTGAATTTTCTATCTCTAAGTGAATGGATTAAGAATCTTCCAATTCACTATTTCCTTATTCCAATGTGTTTACTTATTTATTGCAGTTCTGGTGATTGAACCCAGGGCCTCATATATACTAGATAAGCGCCCTATGACTGAGCTACATACCCAGTCCTAATGTTTGTTTATTTACTAATTTATTTGAATAATTTTTAGTTGTAGATGGACACAATACTTTATTTGTTTTTATTTGGTGCTGAGGTTTGAACCCAGTGCCTCACACGTGCCAGGCAAGTGCTCTACCACTGAGCCATAACCCCAGCCCACCTAATGTTTATTTTTTCATGAATGATGTAAAATTTTTTTCAGTGACCACTTTTGTTTTCAAGATGTCTAATGAGTTGTTTCTCATATTTACATATTATTGCTTTGATTCTGTTTTTCTTTCACAATTTCTTCTTCAACAAACGTTAATCATGTTTACTTTACAGTCTTTCCTTGCACTGTTTTATTATTTGAATTTCCTCTTCAGACTGCCGACTCTGCTGGTTGCTGGTGTGTCTGCTGCTTTGTGCGCAGGCTCACTCTCCTTGCTGTCAGAAGGAGAGTCTTCATAGTTCACCTCCCACCTGGCCCATCTCTACCTTTCTAGAGGTTTTAGGGTTCTATTTATCAGGCGTCCAAGGATCTCAAAACCAGAGCAAGGTATTATACTGGTCATAAAGAGTTCCTGCTTTTCAGTGATTGGGACATTGACAATGAAAACTCTTAAGTCATTGTTGGTTTCCCTCCTCCTCAGAGGCAGTGTCTCTGTCCTCCTGTCACCTCTGGTGGGAGCCTTAAATATATTGTAGCCTTGTGGAAGGGGTAGCAGCTTCTTCCACCTCTTATTGTTCACAGGCCAGCCAGGCCAGCATGTGTGGTTTCCAGCTATGGGCACCACTCGTCTCCCCATGTGGTCCACTTTTAGTGCTGGTTACCTAAGGATGTGAGATGCCCATCACTCTCCCAGCTTCCCGGCTTCCTGTACAGCACACCAAGGGCTGAATGCTCTGTGAAGCTGTTATAATTTGATCTGTAGAGTTATTTAATCTTATTTTGAAGCTTCTGAGTATCTTTTTATTGTTTTTGTGTGTGTGGTGCTGGGATTAAATCTAGTAGTACTCTACTATTGAGCTATATCTACCCTTTTTAATTTATTTTGAACAGGGTCTTGCTAAGTTGGCCAGGCTGGCCTCTAACTTGCAATCCTCCTGCCTCAGTCTCCAGGGTTGCTGGGATTACAAGTGTGCCCACTGTGCCCAGCTCGTTGTTTCTTCTCTTTCCTTTTTTAAAAAATATTTTTATTGTAGATGGACATAATAACTTTATTTATTTATTTTTTAATGTGGTATTGAGGATTGAACCCAGTGCCTCACACATGCTAGGCAGGTTCACTACCACCGAGCCACAACTCTAGCCCCATTTTTAAAAAAATACTTATATATCAATGATTTAGGTTTGAAACAGAGGCAATATCTTAAGCATGAATGTACATTATTAGTGAGAATTATTTGAATCAATCTATAAGAACATTAAAACTTTTAAAGTTTTTCTTTTTTTTGATAGAATTTTTGAAACTAATTTTCTTAAAGACCCGTGTTCATGCATTTAATAAGCATTTACTAGGTGCCAACTTTGTAAGGTACAATGTAGCAGATGTTATTTTCCAAAGATAACCATATGAATGTTGTGCATGCACTTTTTACACTAATACAATGCAGTCTTCTGTTTTGAGAGGTGGGGTACCAAGGTGAACCTTCCTTCTTCAACCAACAGAATGGGACAGAATGATGCTGTGGGACTTCTGAAGCTAAGTAAAAGGACATCATGACTTCTGTCTGTTGCACTCTCTCTTTCTCAATGCTGGGATCTGGGAAAACAGCTACCATATTGTGAGGAATCCCAGGACACAAGGAAAGGCCTTGTATAAGTGGCCCACAGCCCCATCATGCCCCCAGCTAACAGCCAGCACCAAACTGTCAAGCATATGTGTGAAAAAGACTTCAGATAATTCCATCCCTCAGCCTTTGAGTCTCCCATGGAGGGCCCAAGCATTATGGAGCAGAGATAAACCATACTGTGTTCTGTCTGAATTCCTGATACATGGAAACTACGAATGACAATAATTATTGTTATAAGCCAATTCATTTGGGGGGGTAATTTATTACTCAGCAATTGATAACATATACACATAGGGATGGCTACCGGGGATACAAGTGAATAAGACAGGTGCCCTGTCCTCATGGAACTTGTAATTTAATGGAGAAGATAGGAGGACTGAATAAATAAATTTAGGCCGTGATGAGTGTTTAAAGAATACCTAGAGTGCTGTGTAAGTATCTAGCAGGGAAATCTGAGCCAGTTTGGCAGTTGAGGGTAATGTAACCTCTTATTGTGAAATGGTCACTCTCTCCCACAATTCCTTTTTCTTAGTCCAATGCCTCGCTATGGTGGTTGCTCGAAATATTGCATAACCTATTGTGGTTTGTTAAATTAGTTTCCATGTAGCAGTCTTCTTTTTTGTGTCCTCTATGTTCTAAAAGATGAAATTATCAAAAAAGCAGGTCAAGAAATCCTAGAGACTTTCATTCAGCCTTTGAACTAAATGGCAAATGACCTTACAGTTAATTAATGACGTTCTCTGTGCGCATGTCGCATTTGCCAATGTGTCTGCAGGTCCTGCATCCCAATCATGGGAGAGAGCTCTGGTCTAATGCTGTCTAACCTATAAAAAGGAGGAAATACTGAATTTTCTTCCTAAAAATACTGACAATAGCCTCATATCAACATACTGGGAGAGATTTTGTGCAGATGTGTACATTATGACCCTCAGATGGACTCAGAGGCTGCTGCCCTCATGCAGTGGCCCCCAAGGACTTTGCTGCGGCATCATGAAGAACCTTTGTCCACCAGTGCTGTCATGGGGTCTCACCATAGAAGGCAGCAGTCACGCCAGGAGTTGTATACTAACTAGGGTCATTAGATAAAATACAGGAAGCTCAGCTAAATCTGAATTTCAGATAAACAACCAATAATTTTATAGTGTAAGTATGTTTGGTATATTATTCACTGACTATCTGAAATTCAAATTTATCTGGGCATCTGTATTTTTATTTGCTCAACCTGGCAACTCTAATGCTAATTAGTTCACAGAATATGAAATAATTAGAAAAGAAAACAAAACACCAGAGTGTGAGGGCAGGGAGGGGACTAACTAACGGGTTTGATAAGTACCACATTAAGGAGGTGACTCAAAGAATTCCCCCAACCCCCAGAACTTACTGATTTCCTTTTCTTCACACCCCAGCAAACTGAAAAATCTGTGATCATTATGTCTAAGACACTTGTGATCCAATCGACGTAGTTCATCCTGCCTCTGCTTTATCCCCTTACATGCAAGTCTTCCAGTTTCTCAAAGAATGGCCACCCCAGTTCATCCTTACCTCGCTTTCATTGCAGCAGAACACGTCCGAGAGGCTGTAGAACTTCGGATCCAGGTCAGCAATGGCAGGAGCTGGATTGAACAATGTTTTCACTACAAAGGAATGGGAAAGAGGTTTGATGGTTATCATTTTTAACATGGTGCATTTACAGACATTTGGTAGGACAAATCCCTGATTGCAATCATGTTTGCATTCATCTGATTAAATATCCATTTAGTACAGATGTGGAGAAGTCTGAAATCTCAGTCTCCATGATAGTTGAGCACCAGTGCCTTCTTATTTCTATTTCCTCTACTTTTTTACTTTACTTTCAGCTTCAAGGGCAAACATCAATATTTACAGCCAAGGTGATCACAGAGTTAAGGTAAGGGCAGGGAAAACATTAAAGAGGAATAAAGATGTTGTGGCATGAAAGGTTGTGTATGAGTGTGAACAGGTGGGTGAAGATTTTTGTGGGTTCCTGTAAGTGCTTAGTTGCAAGGCTAGTTCATAAATCCATTTTCTAGGAAAGAAAAAAGAGATCACAGAAAAGCAACAATGAAGAGTTCAAAATTTTCCTGAATTGAGTAGAATGAGGAAACTCAGGTACACATGTATATTTTATATACCCCTGTGTGCTTCCCAAATATGTTACATCACACAGACACACAGACACACACACAAGCTTACGCTTTTGGCTTTTGTGAGCAATCTGGGAATGTTAAAAAAAAAAAAGGATTGCGAAAGGAGGAGAAATTAAGTCAGAGGCTGAGTGGTGGCTCAGACTAGGAGGTGACTCGAGAAGGATGGGTGGAGATAACTATAGTGGGCAAAGGAGAAGGTCACTGCTATCACAGTGAGAGAGAAGTGCATTTTTTACAAGAGGAAAACAAGGCCGAGAGATGAGATCCTGTGTGGAAGGCCCTCCCTGGGATGTCATCTGGCAGGGCCCCTACCCAGGGTCCTCTGACTTTAAGTTCAGGGTTTGGTCCTCTCTAAAATAGCTTCTGTAGGCCAGAACTCAACTCTAAGAACTCTAAGCAATACATGCCTCCAACCCCAATTCACCATATCTTGAAATAGCCTTTGGTGTAAAATTTTAAATTATTTTAAAGTCTTCAGAAATTATATTTGCACGAAGAACCTTCTTTGCCACAACTCAGGTACATATGTGTATTTTATATGCCTCCCATATATATCCTGCAGTACACTAAACTGGACTGGCTGGTTTTCTTTTCCTCAACCCAGGTCCACTGTCTATAGATGGGTAGAGTAAATTCCACTAGTTGCGGTTCTCCAAGATTCTTCCAGAACAGTGGCTTAGAAACCTGGCTGCCTATCAGCATCAGGGAGAGCTTGCTCAAGTGCATGATTTCTTTTTTTTTTATTTCTTATCAGCTTTATTAAGGTGTATTTAAGAAATGTACATTGTGTGTATTTTGGTGTACAATTTGATGTTTTTATTTATGTATATATTGTTAAGTGTTTATATCAGGTTAATTAACATATCCATCATCTCACATTTTTTCTAACAGTGAGAACATTAGGATCTACTCACTTAGCAGTTTTCAATCATTAAAAAAATGACATACTTAGTTAACATGCTATGCAATTACACTCCAGAATATTCATATCTTTTAAAAATTTTTATTATTTATTCTAATTTGTTATATATGACAGCAGAATTCAAGTGCATGATTTCTGGACTCCACTTCAAACCCACTGAGTCAGAATCTCTGGGGGTAAGAACACGGTCTCCAGGTGGCTCTCACAGAGCCGCTTGGAAGTGACCTATCCCACATTCCTGGAAAGATGCTAATGAGCATGTGGCTGATGGAAAGAGTCCACCACTGCAGCCCCATGAGGCTGCCTAGTCTGCACCCTCCTAGGTCTTATATGATGTTTTGGTCCAGCCAGTGATCTTGTCCTGTATGGGCTAACACTATTTCCACATTTTTGTTATTGTAGATTCCATAATGTCCACCCACAGAAATCCTATTGTATATTTTTGGCAGTTCAAATTTTTGCACATGGCTATTGTGCAACTTCAATTAGAAAATGGACATGAAAGCCCTGGATAAACTGTAAAGTGTTGTACAAATGTAAAGGATTATCACTGTTATTATGTTGTCCTTTACACACAGCCCAACACCCCCGCCAGTCCACCCATCCCTCTGCCTTCTGTGTAGCCTGGCAACAATCTCGCTCATTGGCTCTCTGGCTTCTGCGATGTCTTGGAGATGTCAGTTATGCATAAAGGTCCTCATTGTCCAGCATTTGAACACACCCACTTACTTTTTAGGTTTTCTGAACAATATATTGTTCCTTATTTGCCTCACAACCACCTAGGGTGATCTTCAAATTGGTACTCATTAGCATCAGAGCACAGGTTAGAGCAAGGTACCAGTATGGAACAGCAGGGTAGAGTCATTTCCTTTTTCTTCCCCTAAAAGATGCCTGATCTAGCAATTCCTTTTCTTCCTTTCTTTCTTTTCTTTGTACCAGGGATTGAACCCAGGGGTGCCTAACCACTGAGCCACATCCACAGCTCTTTTTATTTTTTGAGACAGGGTTTTGCTAAGTTGTTTAGGGCCTTGTTAAGTTGCTGAGTCTTGTTCTCAAACTTGCAATCTTCCTGCCTCAGCCTCCGGAGTTGCTGGGATTACAAGTGAGTGCCACCACACTGGGCTAGCAATTCCTTTTCTAAATCTATGCTCACAGAAATCTATAGGTATTCAAATATGATACACAGTGATGCTCATGGAGCTCTGTGCTAGAAAAATACAAAAAGAAACCTACACATCTATCAAATGGATTGGTTAAAATTATGACATATTCACCTGATGTAATTCTCTGCAGCAGCTAAAAAGAATGAAGTAGCTCCTTCCTTTGTGAGAGAAAGATTTTTATAATTTATCCGTATGTGAAAAAGGAAGGTTTCTACCAACTATTCATTTTAAATAAAACACATAAAAACATAACTACATGGGGCTGGGGTTGTGGCTCAGCGGTAGAGCGCTTGCTTAGCATGTGCAAGACCCTGGGTTTGATCCTCAGCACTACATATAAATAAATAAATAGAATAAAGATATTCTGTTTAACTACAACTAAAAAAATAAATATTAAAAAAACAACTACACACGTAGTTACATTTCTATACTTGCATAAAGAGAAAAGTCTGAAGTAATTAGTTATAAAAGGTTAATTGGAATAAATCTGACTGTAGATTAAATGTTGTACATCATGCAGTTAATCTTCCATCAAAAAACAGGTACACTGTTAATGAAATGATATAATAGCTGTGTTGTGCAGTGGAGGGTAAAGAGTAATGAGTTGGGGTACAGATGAAAAAAACCCTGGTCATGTCTTGACATTTGTTGAAGCTAAATGAGAGCACATATGGACTTACCAATATAGTATTCTATATCCTTACATATTTGAAATTTTCCACAATAAAAACAATTTTAAGCTGGGCATGGTGTTATACACCTGTGGTCCCAGCTATGTGGTAGGTTGAGGTGGAAGAATCACTTAAGCTCATGAATTTGAGACCAACCTGGCTACCACAGTAAGAACCCCATTTCAAAGAAGAAAAAAATATTTAAAAACCTCACAAATTTTATTTTATGTTATTGTTTTGTTTTTAGTTATATATGATAGTAGAATCTATTTTGATATAATTATACAAGCATGGAATATGTCTTTTTCTAATTAGGACCTCATTATGTGGATGTACACGATGGTGGGATTTACTGTGGTGAATTCATATAGGTACATAGGAAAATCATGTCAGATCCACACTGTCTTTTCTTTCCCTATCCCCCCATCCCTTCCTTTCATTCCCCTTTGTCTAATCCAATGAACTTCTATTCTTATTCTCCCCTACTTATTGTGGGTGAGTTTTTACATATCAGAGAAAACAAGTGAACTTTGGTTTTGGGTTCTGGCTTATTTTACCTAGCATGATAGTCTCCAGATCCATCCATTTACTGTAATAAAATGTAATAAAGTCATTCTTCTTAAGGGCCAAGTTTTGTGTGTGTGTGTATGTGTGTGTGTGTGTGTGTGTGTGTGTGTGTATATATATATATATATACACACACACACACACACACATATATATATATCTCACATTTTATGTATCCATTCATCTGTTGAAGGGCACATAGGTTGGCTCCATAGGTTAGCTAATTGTGAACTGAGCTGTGATAAAACATTGATGTGGCTGTGGCACTGCAGTATACTCATTTTGTTTATTTTTATTTATTTATTTTTAATTTTTTTTTTTTTTTAGTTGGAGATGGACACACAGTATCTTTATTTATTTGTTTGTGGTGCTGAGGATCGAACCCAGTGCGTTATACATGCCAGGCAAAATGCGCTACCACTGAGCTACAACCCGAGCCCCCAGTATACTCATTTTAAATCCTACATTTTAAATATATACCAAGAAGTGGGATAGCTGGGTTTAATGGTGATTCCATTCCTAGTTTTATGGGAGATCTCTATGCTGCTTTCCAGAGTAGATGCATCAATTTGTAGTCCTATCAGCAATGTATGAACATAAATTTTTCACCATATCTTCACCAACATTTATTGTCACTTGTATTTTTGATAATTGCTATTCTGACTGGAGTGAGATGAAATCTCTGTAATTTTAATTCTCAATTCTCTCTAGAGATGTTGAACACTTTTTCATATATTTGTTGACCATTTACACTCCTTCTTTTGAGAACTGTCTGTTCAGTTACTTTGCCCATTTATTGATTGGGTTGTTTTTTGGTGTTAAGTATTTTTAATTCTTTATATATTCTGGAAATTAATGCCCTGTCTGAGATGCATGTGGCAAAGATATTCTCCCATTCTATATGCTCTCTCTTCACATTCTTGACTGTTTCCTTTGCTGTGAAGAAGCTATTTATTTTGATGCCATCCCATTTATTGATTCTTGATTTCACTTCTTGTGCTTTAGGAGTCTTGTTCAGGAAGTCAGATCCCAATCCTGACATGGTAGAGTATTGAGCCTACATTTTCTTCTACTATATGCAGGGTTTTTGGTTTAATTCCTGGGTCTTTGATCCACTTTGAGTTTTATGCCCCAATAGTGGAGAAT